ACTTTATATAATTGACTTGTTAAACCTGGAACGTAAGGTAAACTTAAGAGTTTCTATTTTGTTTTTTCATAAACAGATTTTAATGTGATATTTTAAACTGAATTTGCATTTTTATTAAACTTCTTAAATGCTTTGTCTACTATATTTGGATAAAATCCTCTATCAATAGCTATATACTTAATTAATAACAATTCGTTATTTAAATCTTCCTGTCTTGAACATATTTTTAAAGCTCTATAAACATATGTATGAAATGCTGATATTTTTTGGGTTTTAATATGACATGATTCTTTGTGTGGCGGCATAACAGCAGCAAAAGGTTTTCTATAAACTGATGTTTCTAAGTTACCTTCTTCTTTCCTAACTAATACGTCTAAGAAATTAATACTATTATTATCATCTTCAATTTCACACGTGAATTGAATTGTTGGTTCTTTACTATTAATTAACTAAAAAATGTTTGTAGTTTGCTGTTGCCATACCACGAATGTGTCATCTACATATCTTATCCAAACTTCTGGCTTAAATTTAGCGTTATTCATAGCTTCATTTTCAAAACTATCCATATGAAGGTCACATAACAACGGTGACAAGGGAGATTCCATAGCTAAACCCTCTTTCTGTTTGTAATAATTTTGATTAACTTGGAAAAATAGATTATCTACACACACTCTTGTTAATTTCAATATATCTATAATTTCGACTGTTGGTACTCTGTTTTCTATTAATTTATTCTCAAAACATCTAATTACGTCATCTAATGGTGTTTTAGTAAACAACAATATTACATCAAATGATACCAGTAAGTCTTCCTTTCCTAATTTTAGGTTTTTAATTTTCTCTACAAATTCTATAGAATTTTTGACTGTATATTTGTTCTTATTTCTCAAAAAAAGAATACTTACGTGTTATAAATTTTGCTATTTCATAAGATGATGAACCTAAATTTGATACTGTGGGCCTAAAACTGTTATTGTTTTTATGTATTTTTGGTAATACGTAAAATCTTGTGCAATAAATCTATTTGGTACTAAACATTTCTTCTCTTCAGGAGTTAAAATTAGGCTATTCTTAACACTAGTTTTACGTTTTTATGATATTTGTTTATTGGGTTATTCTTAAGCTTTTCATATGTACTTTCTTTCAATATCAGAATTTTTTTAGCTTTCTCAGTTTGGAGTAAATTGTGTAGATTCTAAATATAAAGTATCATTTGAAAGTTTCATGATTGCAAGCTCAAACAGCAATAAAATGTGGAAACTTTGCAAGGCACTATAACCATTTAACACTGAGGTAAGCTAGTTCAACCAGTATTTATATTATAATGACCCTTCCGAAAAGTAATCTGGTAGAGAAAATTATTAATGAAATAAAACAATAATTGGTTAGATTTTGGCAAGTAAGCTAAACTATTCAGTTCAGTTCTACAAGAAGAATATTTTGAAAATCTCCTTAAAAAACCACTGGAAAGTGAATGATTTTGACAAATCTTTAAAGAAAATCACACAATGTAATTTTTAGAAATGAAAACAAAAACCACAATATTCCATGCTTCACTAACTAGGAAAAGTATTGATCTGCTGAGTATTCCATAAGAAAGCATATTCACTGTGAATTTTATTTAACAGTTATTTGTGGAAAGAGAATTGAGATTGTGTTTAATTATGGAATGTTATTGTAATAATTTTTATTGATTATGAATGTGAAAAATATTGAATTATGGTTCATAATTGATGTGATTACAATGTAGTACAGTGTTTTTAAAAAACACAACAAAACCAAGTACTTATACCAACTTTATTAAAATTATTATAATATAATATCTTTTATTTGTACAACTATGAATAACAGAACATAAAAAGAATTTAATATTACATTCAGTCTTTATTCTATAAAGATAAAAATCATATTCTGATGAATCCACCACCAGAAAATTCCATTCTCTAAAATACAGAAAAACAGAAATTAGTGAAAAACATTGTAAACTACAGCATATAATTTAATGTTTTAAATCACTGTTATGAAACATTCTGAATTATGTATTTTTAAATACCAATTCAAACAAAAATTAGTTTTTCATTGATTATTCTTTTCTCTACAAATTATTCCATCTGGACAAGTAAGAATTTTACCGTGACCAGGTGAGATTCAAACCCATGTCAGGCAGCCAAACTACTGTCTCAAATGTTGTACATCTCAATTTGTCCTTCCATCATTATTAAGGACAGAATTTAGCAGAATCATTCCTGAGTAAGTGCATTGTTTTGGTAGGGAGAAGGTTATCATTTAAATCATTGTTTACATGAATAACTTATTTCCAGCTCTACGACCAAACAAGTACAATGTCTTGGTAGGGAGAAGGTTATCAGTTAGATCATTGTTTACATGAATAACTTATTTCCAGCTCTACATCCAAACAAGTACAATGTCTCAAAACTTTTATTTACCAACAGGTTCATCCTTGAAATAACATAAACATTCAGTATTCTCATACATTTATGCAAAATACTTTTGGATAAAGTTCTAGTTTACTGATTAATCATATGAGAAGCATAATGTAGTTTCATTTACTTGGAAATAAAAAAAAAAGCTGACTGTATCATATTCTGCCAGTAGAGCATGCCAGTGATAATGAATTAATAGGTTCCCACACCTGTATAGTTTTCTGAACAAATTACTTCCTACTTCATTTATTTGACTACTAGTCACAAGTGTTGACATTACAGAAATAAGACATTTGGGATGAACCCACGAAATACACAAGATATAAATCTGAAAGTTTTGAAAGTTAAACCTGAAAAACGATGCATTCTGGTTACTTCTTTCTGCATATATATAATATACAAAAAGTTAAATCTGAAACGATGCATTCTGGTTACTTTTTTCTGCATATATATAATATACAAAAAGTTAAACCTGAAACGATGCATTCTGGTTACTTTTTTCTGCATATATATAATATACAAAAAGTTAAACCTGAAACGATGCATTCTGGTTACTTTTTTCTGCATATATATAATATACAAAAAAAAAAACATACAGGTAACAATGTATTGTAAATATTTACATTTTAATCACTGGCATTTGTGATTCAATTTATTGGAAAAAACAATCAAATTATAATTTTAAATAAAGAAAATTTGTATCTACACCACTGCCATATCAAAAGAAATTATGAAAAAGCAGATATTTTAAATATTTGACAAAATAAACTGAGGCATCTCTTTAATACTACTATCATCACAAAACAGAACATTAAGTTTTAAAAAGAAATAAACAAGAGCTAACACAATTCCATAAGCAAATTAATCAATGTATCAACTTATGGAGTAACACAAAGTATTACCTAACAAGCAAAGAAAAAAAAATGAAATATATTTTGAATTTCACTCTATTGTGAAACCACAAGTGTTATTGTATGTTTGATTAATCTATGAAAAATTTACGTTGGTCCATAAGAAATAAAATTTCCATACGTCAGTAAATCAAGACTGAAATATTTTTAAATGTCAAATAGCTACTTTTATATATCTCTTGCCCAAATATCAAATAAATGTGTGGCATTGAAAAAAAATAATTTACTTTTTGGATGAATAAGGAATTTCTGTACCACGATTTTTATACACAGTATGCACATTTAGTTTTCATCATTAAGTCTACCTTACATAAATGACAAGTTTACGCTGTGTTTATGAAACACCTATGCCTCCAGTAATGTTGTACTGTATGTTTATGTCTGCCCTATTTGAGTGACATTGACTTTTGACTCATGAATTTCAAAAGTTAATCAAATCTGTAACTTTGTATGTAGTACCAATTGTACAAGTTTGGTCAATACCTGTTCATCTTGAGTTGAAATATGATGTCCATAAGGTTAGGGATGATTTTCAAAAACCAATGACCTTTTGACTATTACCTACCTTTAACCTATGACCTTCAAAAATTAACCATGCCTACAACTTTGTATGTAGTACTCGTTTTGTAAGTTAGGTCAAATTCATTAATCCAATCTTGAAAGAGCCCATCTACAAGATCATGACAGACAAGCAAAAACCAACATATTCCACTCTGATTTGCAAAGTAGTAGGAATGTAACGAAACACTTATTTTATTACTACTTTAACCAAACAAATAAACATCACATGTTTAGAAGTGTAAAGAACACCTTGTCCAACCTTTGCCACCAAAACATAGTATTAAAGAAGATCCTACTTGAGTAACTTAAGGAGCAAGTAGACTTGCAGTTATCTAGATAAACCTAATGTACAGTGTTCTCAATCTTTCTTGATAATATTTTTGTATAGAAACAAGAGCATCTTATTGTTAATGTTCTAGTAATTCAAGTTGAAACCTCAAAATATCACAATTTATATTCTCTACACAAATAAACTAAGAGTCAATGTTCCATACATACCTGCTGTGGCTCCACAAAGTCCAGCCAGTCAGATGCATGTGTAGGTAACAAACCCATTGATGAACATTTGTACAAGGCTACTGCCAAACACACTAGATTTCCAAATAAATACACAACTTTCTGAAAGAGAGCCTGGCTCCCTTCTATGAGTTTAAAGGCTGAAAAATAAAAAGGTCTACAATAAAAATACAAGATTATTACAGTTTATCACAATAGTACAGGTCATATATCTATAATGTTCAAATCCAAACTCAGCAATGGGTTTCCACATATCTCAAACTGAGGGAATTTACCACATAGAGGGGTGTCAAGATACCCAAGTTTCTGTTAAAATAACCACTTTATGATGCACTTGAGAAAACGGGAATAAAATTAATTTGGGGAGGTTTAATAGAATACATTTAGCTACTTACAGTATTTTGAGGAAGACAATTTGATCAGTTAATGCAGATCTATTTTCTCTAGCTTATCAAAACACTTTCCAAACAAGCTCTAACACATGAATGAAGCTAGTTAAATCTTCCAAGATGAATTAAAGTCCTCTAAATAACAGTTCTTACAAATTATATTAATGAAATGTTCACTTAAACATAAACTTATGGAATTTAACACCATTTAATGATATCCGATCATTGTAGACATGACAATACTTGTTAAGTTTAAACAAAATAATGTGATTTTGCACCGATTTAAATATGTATTAGTGTAATATAGAAAAACAAGAATATTTTCATAATTCAAACAAAAATTAACTTACCATTCTATTTATCTACTTACATTACGCATACCCTATCTTTTTGAAATAAAAAAAAGGCCCATAAATGATTATCAGCTACACATACACTTTCTATAACAATTAATCAGTATCACACCAGAGTTACTCAGTTTTTTTAACTATGGACTCTTCTTTCCTTTCTATCAAAACACTTATGGATAAATACGAAAAAGGTCACAAGTGCCAAATTTCATAAATGGAACAAAAATTATGTAAATAAAAAACTTACCTGAGTGGAAACAGTTTCTGTATAAATTTCAGAGAAGCACTTTGTTGAGGACAAAGAAAATTAAACATACAAAAAATGATTGGGGTATTCAAAAATAATGTAACCTAATACATTAAAGGGAAAAAGTATATGGAAACAAATGATTCTAGCTTTCAAAGAAACACATTTTTACTCTAAATTAGGATTTTCCTTTCCCACAGATACCAGTTTCCTTGAAAGTTTTTGTCATTTTCTTTAGTTGCTTTTTTTGTGTTTTCTAAAATTAGATGTTTTGAGCACCAAATTTTTTTAAAGTTTATTTGTTAATGACACAGCATTACTCAGTATTAAATAAACTGTTTCCACTTATTGATATGCTTTTGCTTTTATAATTTTAAGAAAACTTGTCTCTCCATTGATTAGCAATGACAGTTTTTTTACTGCTTTTGGTAAAAATAATTAGAACAAGTACAACATAACCAAAGAAATTATGAAATAAAGTTTGAAAGGAACAATATTATTGAAATTAGAAATCGATTTATAGACAAAGAGACACTGTGCTTGTAATGAAATTGTTAGGACAACGAACTCACTAGATTGGACTGTAAGTAAAGCCTTCACGGGCCGAAGAAATAACATCCCCACCATCATGATGGGAAATATGGAGATTGAATTTCCAGCCATGTACATTATGAAGAGGTTCATAGGCACTTGTTTCAAGGGTGCCAGAGCAATATCCCAGGATTTCTATATATATTAGAAACAGAAGATCTGTTATCTAAAAACTTGAAGAGAAAAACAAAAGTTTAAAAAGCTATTTCAACAAATAAACTTTGTATTTTTCCTTTACCAAACTTGAAATGATAGTTGTAACCTCCTCCTAGATTCTATTAAGAAAAATGGCCTCCCATATACCTCTAGCATAGACAATCATTTAACTGGCATATTTAGAATTTGCTATATAATGAAGTTTGTTTATAAAACAGATGATGAACCAAATGGAAATGAACATAAACATAGCTAAAAATGGAAAATAATCATACATTAAAAGTAGACAACACCAAACCTTAAAACATGGATAGATGGTCAGAATTAAACCCCTTTATAACCAACTACTGTCGTGCAGATAAATATAGAACACATTTTATTGAATAGTCTACTGCAAGCCAAAAAAAACTGAAAAATATAATAAGACCTTTGCTTACTTTTTTTTTTTACTTAATGATAAATTTTGTACTTCTTTATCAATTATTCTTATGGTGCAATTTTGTTTTATTGATAATTGTTAATAATTCTTATCTTTCTCCTATGAAATGTTTCTTATGAGAAAATATTACTCTAACTTGCAGGCCTACAATTTGAATGCAAATTGGAAACAATACTGAATTATCACTTTTACTTTAGAAATTATAAGATACCTACCTTTACTTTTGCATACATGACTTTTAAATCAAATTAAGTATTATATGTTTAAAATGAGAATTACTTGCAAATGGGTGTCGGGAATACTAATAACAGTTTATACAAAGCTAAGATAGTTTATACAAAAGAAAAAGAGTCCCATCATTCTATTTGTTTAAAACTTTAAAATGTGTTTTGGTTCCATTGTTTTCGACTCAAATAAATGATGAAAGTCTTATATTTCATTATAATAAATAATTACACATAACTCAATACTTTTATAGTATTATAGTAAAAAAAATTGTTTTAAAAATTTGTGCAAAGTAATGCACGTCTATAATGTGGTCATTATACATTTTGAAAGAATGCATTTGATATACTATTTAGTGTTTAAAGAAATGGATTTTTCTACTTTATTAATTTTTTAGATGGTGTTTTTTGCTTTTTCTTGGTAACAGAATGTGTATCTTGACTTTCAGAAAGTCCATGATTAGGTACCACAGAAAACATTGGTACGTAATAATTTTTAAGAAATTAGAGAACATTTTAAAACGAAGCTAGAAAATTGGTTAATTTGGTGGAAGAAAGCAGTTATGATGAATGAATATTTTTGTATTGTAATAATGTTATTAACAGGGTTCCCTCTCCCTCAGCAGCCTGTTTTTTTTTTTGTTCTTTAGTTGGTTTTTGTTATTCATACAACTTGAAGAACTACCTAATCAGTGATATTTCCAAACTAGATAGGATGATGTTCCTGGGAGAGTGAAGAAGATTTCTTTAGTTTTGAAGGTTCTGAATAACTTTCATAAGCGGGCTGAAATTAATTTTAATATTAAGATATGTTAAATGAAGTGCTGAAAGGGAGGAAATTCAGAAAGAAATTACTAGAATTTGTGATATGGAAACAAAGAATGATTAAGGTGTGTTAATTGGTAAGTCTTTGAAACTCTTGTATGTATGTAAAGCTGTGGTAACAGAGCTAATGAAACTTGGAGTTCAATTTAGCAAAACTTTAAGAACCAAACATAGCTTAATGCAACCTTGTCCATTACTCTCCCAACGAAGTTTCAATAATGTAGATAACAATACACTTGAAAATATGTGTAAAACTACTTCAAAAGCTCACAGGTACCATGGGTTTCCAAACTTATAAATTTTCCACATATAATAAGAATTTGAAATAAATGAATGATACTATTCTGTATTTTACAGAGTATATTAAATAATTTTCTAGAACCATATGTCATTCTATTAGTGTCTCTGTAATTTTTGTTTTGGGGGGAACGTTGATATCCTTCCTCTAATAAAGTGACCAAAACCGCATCCACTGATCTAAACCCAAGCTTGAGGGTGCAAAGAACTCTCTGTAAACTAAGTGATTACTCTGTTTGTTTTGATAGGTGGATGAGTGACCTCAGTGGACACATAGTCTTCTGTCATCTTGCTCATTCTTATGTTTGACCACTTATAAGTTTTATCACAGTAATCAGTTGACAACTCTTAATAAAGCTTACATTATAATTCAAAGATAATTCACAAAATTACCATTTCAATAACATTATCTTTCACTAATTGAAATATAACATAAATAGCATCAACTTCTGTTGTACTAACAAGATTATACTGTAACAACATATATATTTTACTCATCAATTAATACTAGTCATTAAACATAGATACTTAAAATTCTGTTAAACTAAGACAACTACACATCCCAAAATAGATCTTTTGAATATATTGAATTATCACTGTGATGAAACAAGGATTGTATTATAAAATATGTTAACTGATAATCCACTTAAAATTAATTAGACTTATTGCTCCTCTGAATATATTTTGAGAGGTATTTCACAAAATATAACTACTTATTACTTTTGAGTATATTTTCATTCAAGACATGTTGAAATTTGAATAAGTTAATAACCTCTGAACTTAGCAATAACATATTAATATTTGATCAGTTAAAAACTCCCAACTGATGATTAAATCTGTTTTGAATACCCAGCTTGTGGTACAAGCTGTGTCATCACAAATATATTTATAAACTAAGATTATGTAATGAAAGATACTGTGCCTTCATTTGGTTAAGTTAAAAATATATTATTAGGAAATGTAACTAATATTCATGTATCATTACTTGCCCTGATTAAAGTACAACAGAGTAAAAATATAAAAATATTATACAGTTTAGATAAAATAAATATTTATTAAAATTCACTATTTTGATATAGTGCCCATGTATGACTGAAAATTGTTAGATTAAAGCACTTTAAAAGGATTGTACAGTGACATGCATTTTCTTTGAGGACTTCAGAATTTATAGATATGCAGATTTTTGTATTTGTAACATGACTATATCTATATAACATAACTACAGCATTCATCTTTCTTAGCCATTAGTGACAGGGAAAATTATTCTGACTTACACTAGTAGCAGTGACTGAAGAAGTTCAATAGTTATCAAACATAGCTTCTTATTGGTAGTTCAGAACAAAATTCAACATAACAATAACATTTTATAATCACGTGTATGAAATACTTTTTTCTTTTAATAACAAATATAGTTAAATAAAAACAAAATCAATGTAGGCATAAACAGTGAGTGAAAGAACATGTCTAAGCATATAACTATAGTGACTGAAGGAACATGTATAATTATATAACAATAGTGACTGAAGGAACATGCATAATTATATAACAATAGTGACTGAAGGAACATGTATAATTATATAACTTCAGTCACTAGTGTTATATAATTATACATATTCCTTCTGTCACTATTGTTATATAATTATACATGTTCCTTCAGTCACTAGTGTTATATAATTATACATGTTCCTTCAGTCACTATAGTTATATAATTATACATGTTCCTGCAGTCACTAGTGTTATATAATTATACATGTTCCTTCAGTCACTAGTGTTATATAATTATACATGTTCCTTCTGTCACTATTGTTATATAATTATACATGTTCCTGCAGTCACTATTGTTATATAATTATACATGTTCCTGCAGTCACTATTGTTATGATTATACATGTTCCTTCAGTCACTATTGTTATATAATTATACATGTTCTTTCAGTCACTATAGCAACATGTATAATTATATAACACTAGTGACTGAAGGAACATGTATAATTATATAACAATAGTGACTGAAGGAACATGTATAATTATATAACAATAGTGACTGAAGGAACATGTATAATTATATAACTATAGTGACTGAAGAAACATGTATAATCATATAACAATAGCGACTGAAGGAACATGCAATGTTTACTTAATACACAACTTACATGCCTTATTTGAAAAATTACATTATAGAAATGTTTGTTAAATATATTTATGAAATTTAGTGAAATAATTTGGTTTTTGGAAATTAATTTTCTTAATTTACACACCCATATTTTTCCCTCCAGAGTAAGGTCAAACTACAGTGAAATATTACAATAAACTTGCATTTATCATAGACAATCATCAGAAAATACAAAAAACATAATGATAATAGTTACGGTCAGCTATGTTTGGAAATTATAATGAAAATTTTCAACATTTTAAAATATACACTTGCAATACTCCAATCCAACAATTTATTATTCCTTTTCATTCTAAAATAACTGTTTGTTTGTTATGAATTTCGCACAAAGCTACACGAGGGCTATGTGCACTAGCCGTCCCTAATTTAGCAGTGTAAAACTGGAGGGGAAGGCAACTAGTCATCACCACCCACCTCCAACTCTTGGGCTACTCTTTTACCAACAAATAGTGGGATTAATCGTCACATTATAACGCCCCCAAAGCTGAAAGGGCGAGTATGTCTGGTGTGGCAGGGGATTCAAACCCATGACCCGCAGATTGTGAGTCAAGCACCCTAACCACCTGGCCATGCTGGGCCCTAGAATAACTAACAAAGATGTCATCACCACAATTTTCAGTTCATTTCTGACTGCTGTTTTTGTTTTTAAAATACTAGCCAAACTATGAGGTAAGAGTAATTTTAAGATTGAAATACAAGGCATATCAAAAAAAAATACAAATAATTTTCAAAAAATAAGTAAAAATAGTAAAATGCTCACACCACAGAACAAAATAGTATTATTCCTTAAAACATTGTGGTATTATTCAATTCCTACAGGTACCTTTACAATGAGACTAGCATCAGTTTCTTTGCTAGCTTCTACATGAACTTGACCAAGAGAAGAACTGTACCCTGGAGGTGAAGCCAAATCTACTGGTCTGTCGGACTTTGCTCTGCATGAAAAAATCCCAATAAAAATATATTTTTTGTTCCTTTCTTGATAAGAGAAAAATATCACACTTTTCCCTTAAATGTTTTATGCACAGAAGAGGTAGCATACAGGTTAAACACATTACATTATTATTAGAAACTTTCATTTCCTTATAATTTTATTATGTTACAAGTAGCTATGAGGAATAGTACATGGGCACCCAGCACTGATCAAGCTTATTCAGCAGAATAAAAAAAAAACACATTAGTGTACAGAAAAGTATAAAGGAAATAATATTCATAAAAATATTAACAAAAATGTGAATACAGATACACAATCTATGTTAAAGATACTCAAAATTTGAAAAATGATCCATGCAAGTCCTCATAATATTTCTTACAGGTTTGGACTGTACAGAGATGCTGGGTTGAATTTCACCCACAGTCTCATTCAGAGCACAGAGTATCATAACCAGATTGTCAATGTCCTTCCTAAATCAGCCTATTATTTGAACACATACAAAACACCAGGTTTTATCTGCAGAATATGAACTCTAGAGTCCTTCTGTAATATCAAATTAAGATGTTCTTCAAATTGGTTATATGCAACATTTAACTTTCTATAATGTATTACTCACAAATGTGAACATTGTAGGCAAAATAGCTACAATATCAAGTTGCCAAAAAAAAAACAGGATGGCGGATGCTAAGGTACATTCACCTTTATTTGCCACTAAAGTCTATGGCAGAAATAAGCCTGAAAGGATGCAGAAAACACACTTCACAAAATGGTAGGAAGTAACTTTTAACAGATATTCAGAAAAAATGTAACGTTTAACTTAAAAACAAGTATAATTTAACCCTTTGAGTGCATAATTATATTTTGGGTGGGTTCACGAAAAAGAGTCTATTATCCACTAACAAATGAAGTGTAGAAATTAACCATTTTTAGTACTTTTTCAATATTAAAATCCACTAGTTGTACTTTTGCTCAGTGACATATGCACGGGTGGTACTAAGGCAGGAAATTCGAGGACATGTGAGTATATCATATGTTGCACTATGAGGAAAAGTTTTGTGACATCATGGGGTAAATCTGCTTATCGCAGCAAATGGCTATAAATTTCAAGTTGGATAAATCCAATTATGGCATCCAAATGGTTAAATTGAGGCTGAAATTAAGATAATCTTAAGATCAAATGGAAAATAACAGAAGATACTTAAAAAACTCAGAGTAAAAAAATATCTTAAAGGGAAAGTTTTTCAAAGAAATGGTAAGAGAATTTAACCATGCGGTTGTTTACTAGTGGATTCAATACTGAGTACTGAGACAGTCTATTGTTTAATTCAGGATGTATCTTGTGAATCCACAAACTTTCCTTCGTGCATAGCATCTTTCTACTGCATGCGCTCCCCAAGATATTGAAGTGTTTAGAAACAACATTTACGTTGAAGTCTTGTAAGCAGTAGCGAAGAATGGACAACTAATTATATACAGTATTCTGCACATGCTCTTTAATACGTGAGCTCAAACAACATATTGTACAGTCCACATAGTCTCGTAAGAGCAATGCATAATTGGGATCCTGACTTTATATTTAAAATAATTACTTAAATGAAACAATGGTTTAAAAACAATTTTAAACTTAATGTGAGGGTAAATGTTATTATTCAAAATGAATTTAATCTTTTTCTTTAATTCTAGTGAATGGTTACCAGTAAATAGTAAAATACAATAAACTATTTCTTTATTTTCAAATTGTTTAATAGTTTTAGGAATGTACAAACCTTTTAAATAATTCTTAATAACACTATCAATTGATTGTATAGGAAAACTGTTTTTTTGTAAAACAACCTTTACAAAACATAAACCTATTGTATACCTACTTCATGGTCTAACAAGACCATGAGGTAAGTACACTATAGTGTAATTGTTAGACCATGAAGTAGGTACGCTACAGTGTAATTGTTAGACCATGAGGTAAGTACATTATAGTGTAATTGTTAGACCATGAGGTAAGTACACCATAGTGTAATTGTTAGACCATGAAGTAGGTACACTATAGTGTAATTGTTAGACCATGAGGTAGGTACATCATAGTGTAATTGTTAGACCATGAGGTAAGTACACCATAGTGTAATTGTTAGACCATGAGGTAAGTACACCATAGTGTAATTGTTAGACCATGAGGTAAGTACATCACAACAATTGTTTGACTATGAGGTAAGTACACCATAGTGTAATTGTTAGACCATGAAGTAGGTACACTATGGTGTAATTGTTAGACCATGAGGTAAGTACATCACAACAATTGTTTGACCATGAGATAGTTATATCACAATCTAATTGTTAGACCATGAAGTAGGTACACCATAGTATAACAACAATTACACTATGGTGTACTTACCTCATGGTCTAACAATTACACTATAGTGTACCTACTTCATGGTCTAACAATTTCTTGAAATTTTAATGAGTCAGACCCTCTCTCAGTGTCATTCTCAACACATCATGTGCATTTGAATATTTATTTCACAATTAAATAGGCTTTTTATTTGAATATTCTTAATATGTTGAAATATCACACTCACTCAGTGATGTATTATTTACTTCTTTTCCTATAATAATCACTAATTTCACATTGTATTCCAATTTCCATTCACACACATACTACATGCAATTAACACTTTATAAATGTAACTTGCTGGAACTCTGTTATTGTACAATACATTTTTACACACAGTCAACAAAATTGTTGAATATTAAATTTTAACTATTTCATTCCACCATCACTTACATCACAACCTAAATTTTATACTACAACTTTTAATATAAGGTTTAGGAGCCTTGGCCTACACCTTTGTATTTTAAGTCTGAATACATAAAAAAAAAAGTATATTTTCCTTGCATGAAATACTGCTTATTTAGAAAAACGTGTTTTATTGAAGATATACTGTATAACTTATAAACTGAAATAACAATATACAAATTATTAGTAAATACCATATTTCATAAAGATCATTTATATTACTTTTAATCTTTTGCATAACGTTTTAATTGAAAAACTAACTGCTAATATTGTGCCTTAAGAAATTTAGTAGTTAAAAAAATAATAAACCATTAACTGATCAAGTGCTAACGACCATTAAAGACTATCACTAGTAATAGTATCAATACCATGCTATTTCACTTTCAGTTTGTCTAATACCAATCAATTCATAATATATTTTTATATATTATTTTATTTACAATTATAACGTTCTTATAAGCTATAGTTATGCAGTAACATTTCCTACTTCCCACTTATAATAACACAAAACTCATGTAATTATAGTTATTTGCTAATTAATCTAATACAAAATTATAAATAATATAATTAAAATAGAACCTCTGAGCAAATGAAAATGCCCATTTGTGCCGACGCATAACACTCCGTATTTTCCCCGTTGACGCCATTGAAAATATGAACAACTTCTGGCGATTAAACGCCATCTGTACGTAATTGACATACATGTGAATATATTTTCACAAAACAAAACATTGCGATAATTGCTAAAGTTTGTTGACTATGATTCAATATATTTTAAATTCATGCTTTTTAGTAAAGTAGTAGAGAGCGCAAAAGATTAAGAAACATTAACCAATTAGTTGCAACAGAAAATATTATTATTATCAATAAGCTGTAGATACTGCCTTTGCCCAGGAATGAAAAATAGGTCTCATGGTATCATATATTTTGTTTAAAATTAAAAATATTTTACATGTAGAGAGTGGGGCAAAAGTTATTATACAGTTACTATTTATACATGTTTAGCACTAAAGAAAATATTACGAAGACAACTGAAAACAATTTGATTATTTAGTTGATATTGTTGTTTAATTTGCAGAGTAGACTGAAGGACTGAAACCAGATTTACGAAAAAACTCATCATATTTTAGAAAATAATGATTTTATTCAACCCGGTCTTTTTGTTGTTTCTCTAGAGTTCGATTAGTTTTTGTTTTTTGTAAACATGGTTTCAATCCTCTAGTATGTTCTGTAAAGTTTAAAAGCTGATACGTTTTTCACCGTCGTCGACGGTCGTTTCCGCAGTACAACCAACGTCAACACCTGAAACTGATACGCACTTCAGCACAGATTGGCTTTTTACATCAGTGTAAGTGACATCAAATTATCCCTATTCGCATTCAGAGACTTGTTAGTCTTCCTACGACTTTAAAGGACAATCAATTGTCTCTACGTCAGTTTAAGGTATTTTGTAATGGTATTCTGTGGGACTTATTAAAACTATATGTATTAAAAAAGCTAAACATGTTAGTATCATCCAATTCTAAACAAACTATCCTTAACAATTACTAACTTTCTTCATTGGATTGAACGTATTACACACAGGATTAATGCAGAGGAATACAAACTTAGCAGAATACGACTAAACAATAAATTCCAGAAAATTTCTCATCCTTATACCAAGTACATGGTTTCAGATGGTTAATAACTCGACACTAGTGCTGTCACTCATTTTAATAGTACACGTAAAGAAAGTTGTGAAAGTATCGTCGATAAGGGTATGCTATCTCACACCAATGATAACAATGCTGCGGAAAGGCATCACACTTCTGTAGAATATTATATTGTTGTTTGAAGTTAAGCACAAAGCTATACAATGGGCTACCTGTGCTCAGACCACCACGGGTATCGAAACCCGCTTTATAGCGTTGTAAGTTTGCAGACATACCGCTGTGCCACTGGGGGACAGAATATGATAAACAGCAAATTAATAAGAGCTCATCGACTATTCGCTCCACTCTTGATATATTTGATGACGTAAATACGTCTATAACCAACAAATATTCATTGAAAAAATAATAACAAAGTGATCGGTCTCGACAACATTTCACTCTCTAAAGATTGTATGTCCATTTTTTCAAAAATTTTGCTATTTCTAGACAACTAATGTCAGTCTTGATATTAGATAATCTTTCCATGAATGCTTCTTTAAATTGAAATCTCGTAAAAAGTATGATTCAGTCGAAGATAACAACGTTAAATCTAATTATCATTTTTTCTCCTTTCTCTTTACTTTCCTAAATCCATCCTTTCTACTGCAGATTTCGAGACTGAAAGTCGTATTAAAAAGTTAAAAGTGGTGTTAACTCAATACATAAAGGTTTTACAAAATATCATATTTGACCAAATATTTCTAGAAACAAGTGGTCTTCTTTTAAGTGCCCGGCATGGCCAGGTGGATAAGGCGCTCGACTCACAATCTGAGGGTCGCGGGTTCGAATCCGCATCCCACCAAACATGCTCGCCCTTTCACCCGTGGGGGCGTTATAATGTGACGGTCAATCCCACTATTCGTTGGTAAACGAGTAGCCCAAGAGTTGGCGGTGGGTGGTGATGCCTTCCCTCTAGTCTTACACTGCTAAATTAGGGATGGCTTTGCGCGAAATTCCAAAACAAACAAACAATCTTCTTTTAAAGATCTAAAAAATAACGAGAATTTGATCGTAAAAGCTAGTGTTAAATGCAAAAGTTTTATTATAAGAAAGAAAACTACTTACGTAGAGAAAATGATAGAACATCTTAATGATACTTCTACTGTGGAGATTTTCAACATGAACCCAACTAAATGTCTCGAAGACAGAAATAAAAACATACTGAAAGATTTGAGAGTTAACTCCAGTATCTCTCCACATCTATTAAGTCATCCGAAACCTTCAGACTCTAAAGCTCCCAGCTTATACGGACTGCCTAAAGAACATAAAATAGACATATCTCTCAGGCTCTTAGCTCCTTTATCATGGCTTTTAGAGAAAGTACTTCATCCATTAAGCGTTTACACAAAACTATAAACAAATCTGGGTTAAACATCCGAATTGTAAAAACCTAGGGATTATACTTTAAAATTACTTATTCATTCGGCTTTTCAATAAGAAAATGATTGTAAACCAATGGTTATAGACAATGGTTTGTTTGTTTGTAGTTAAGCACAACGTAACGCAATGGGCATTTTTTTCTTTCCACCATGGATATCGAAACCTGGTTTTTAGAGTTATAAGTTCGCAGTCGTACCACTGTGTCACAGAAATTCGCTCAAATAAACACACTTAACGTTTCTTGAATCTAGCTCTACTTGGAACTGTTACGACAGCGGAATTCACGTGACGCTGGTAACACGTAATGAGTATCTAGAACGTTCCTGAAGGCTCGAGCGCTTGCTAGACTCGCGCTTTTATAGTATATAAGACTGGCGAGAAGTGACGGGAAAAAATTGAATTGCAGAATAGAGACAGACAATTGAGTCAAACGCGGTAGTAAGTAAAGTGCGTGAATCGTTCGTTGTGAATTATAGCGTGTGTTTCAATTAAAGTGACTGTGGAAATTAAGTGTATTGCAAAGTTGTATCGAGAAAGAATAAACTAGTTTTATTTAAGAAAGGACTAGTATCGCTGAAGTTTCTGGGAAGAATTTTACGAGTAATTAACAAACGAACAGAGACGTAACAAATTGGCGTCAGAAGCGGGATAAAAATAAATAAATAAATAAAAAGAAGATGGAAACAAGAGGTGGCCTGCCATCAAATCTGCTAAGCTGTAGTTTGATTTCAATACAAGAACAGCAAAAGAAACAAGAAGAACGAGAAAAGAAACAAAAAGAGAGATTACAGCAGTTGTTGGAGGAAAAAGAAAATAAACAAGAAGAGAAACAACAGCAGTTGCAAGAAAACCTGCAACAGTGGCAGCTCGAACAGCAAAATAAACAAGAAGAGAGATTACAGCAGTTGCGTTTTGCTGTAAATTGAAGTGTGAGCCTTTTTTTTCCTAAATATTTTAGTGTTATAGTTGTTGTTTTTTACTTCATAGGCACCCGCTGGACTGATGAGAGATAGCTTATCTATTTCTCTCTTGTTAGCCCAACACACTCACAACAAACACACTTTCCCTTGATTTATTTTAGAGTATTGTGTTTGTCTGTCTATTTTTCACTTTTCATTATTAAAGTTTGTAGCTGTGCTTTCTTATGTTTTGACACTTCTTTTAAGATGAACTCAGTTCACAGAATAACAGACCCATACTCTGTTACATGATATCCAGTTAGTGAACGATACTATCGATCTGTGGTAAATCCATGTACCAGAATATGCCATAATGGTAAGACATCAGAAATTAAGTAAATATGTTCTAAATGAAACAGCTGTAAAACAACTTGTTCATCCCCACCCTGTATGTGCAGACTAGTAGTCTTAGAAAATGAGCAGATAGATCGTAGACAGTGACTTTAAATTGGGCTAAATCTATTTCATAAGGCGAGACACACCCAAAATTATTTTAATGATGGTAAATGCATTTAAGATAATATATGTTTTAAAGTTATTCAAATTTATTAAAACATTAAAGCTACTTTGAAACCATGATTGTGTTTATATACATACCAAGTAAGTAAAATAATGTTCAGATGAGATGCCAAGGAGAAATAAAAATCGATTGTGGTAAACTAAATATTTAGTATTTAATAGAGCATCAAAGGTTCAAAGCTCTATACTTACGTAGTTGATTTAATGATTCACTGTGCAAGAAAGTGGGTAAAGCTATGGCTTTTTACGCAGGGAGTGGGGCCAAAGTCTCATTTTGGGTTCCATGGACACCTTTTGCTGTGAAAGAATGGTGCCTATTTTTCATTAATTTGGACCTTTCTGACATTATTTGGAGTGGCTATCTTTCTGTAAAATACACACAGAAGTTTTTATAGGCCTGTTTGTGAAATAACCCTTATCTTTCCTGAGCAAAAATATTAGTTTCACAATAATTAGGATTATGGGTGTAAAGTCATGTTTTGATATGACATTAGAATATGTCTGAGCTTAAAATTTACAGTATTATAATAAAAATACATTTATATATAATACAGCTGCTTTAATTGTAGGTTTTTGCCACTATCTGTCGTGAAATGTCTTAATTTTTCAGTATTAAAATGTCACATATTCTTCTATGATACATAAAGTAATTGAGATATTGGGATGATTAAAACTTTAAAACATTCTGTATTACAAGTCTCGTAATTAAGATCAAATGGTGTGTGTTCCTTCATTTGGTATAAACATTACAGGCGATAACATTATTCTACCCCTAAAGTAACTTTCCCCAAACAATGAAAGTTAACACAACAAATTATTTTAGTAGGACTTTGTAGTGTTTCACATTTCATCATTATACATGACTTTAGAATCATTGAAGCAAACATGAGATCTGCTATTCGTGTCTCCATAGAAATTTGTAGCAGCCCTTAGCAATCAATTATTTTGTAAAATAACCATTGTTTAAGTGTTTAAAAATATTGCAAATGTCTGTGTTCACTGACTATTTTACATCTTTATACATGTCCTAGAAAATATGCACAGTTCTTTTCTCTTAAAGAAGAGCTCGGTTATAATTCAGCACTTATATGCATACAGTAATATGGCACATGTAACAATTATAAGAGATAGTATGGTTAATGGTTTTAATCAGTGTTTAGGAGTAAACATACAAATAGATTTTTCTCTATTGAGCTTGGCTGGTAGTTGTACAAGTCGCAGAATATATTAACACTGTCTGTGTTAGAGGTGACATCAGGTTCCTTCTTTACCTTTTTTGTACACCATCAAGTGTTTTATACAGCAGAAATGATAATCTGTGAATTGCGTGCATAGCATCTACAATAACAACTGTTGTTTTGATTTACGTTAGTTAAAATCGCTTATAACATAGGCTTTCAACAAATTACGACAGAGTACAAATGTTCAAGATTGAGTAAGTAAACTAATTTGTGATCGCTACTTGTACTAGATACTGAATTATTTTTACCAGATAATTGAAAAGAACCCGCCAGCGGAAGAACAACGCATACAACAATACTGTTGCGTCAGCGAGGTCACGTGACTAGTATCACACCACT